ATTTCTGCCAACCAGGGATTTTTCTGAAACTTTTCAGAACTCCAGGGACCAAAACAGATGTTTTCAGAAGAATAGGGACCGAAGTGCAGTTTTTCAAAAACAGTGCAATTTTCTGGAACTTCAGGGGCTAAACTGCAACTTCCTGAAATTCTGGTCAATGATGACCTCACTGATGACGTCACTCCTTCTTCCCCGGCAGTCTTCTCCGGGCACGTGGTTTTTCCGACGACTTTTCCGGCGAGTTTTGACCAACTTTGACCAACGATTTGAGGGCCTTCTGGTGGTCAAAAAATTACGAAAAATATATTTTCGGAATCCTTGAAACAAGCCCTTTCCAACGGTGTACTCAAAAACGGATTTTGAGACAAAAAAAATTTGACGAAAAAACAGAGAAATTCGTAAAGTATTCCCTGGACACCGAACCAAGCTCTGATACCAGTTGTTGGGGTTGAAAAACTCTTCTATTAAACACTAAAATAGAATTACAATAGGAGGAGCAACTCTCACACTCAACTATTACAAAAGACCAACCCTCTCACTAACACTTTCACTCTAAGTTTTATACCATTTGTGTCTCTGTATTTGGGATGCATACAACTGAAGAATGAAGTCTCTATTTATAGTCTTGGCAGCCACCATTGTAGTTGCGTCTATTAATTGTGTTCATCATAGGGTGGGAAGAAAAACTTGTCCCGCAGGTTTCATTTTGTCAACAATGATGGCTACTGTAGCTTTGGAGGCTTTGGAGGCTGGAACACAACACATACCACGTTGGTAGTTCACCGGGATGCTTTCCCATGATCACTTCTAGTGAAACAATCCCAAAGCTATACACATCACATTTCTCGGTTGCCACCATCGTATAAGCAAGCTCTACATCCAATGAGACATAAGATAAAAAAAAATTTATCAACCCCACATGATTCTATGAAAATGTTGAACTACAATCACATGATTATGTTACCTGGTGCGATATAACCATAGGTCCCAGCAATTGCGGTCCAATTGGATGAGTCTAGCTTTAAAAGCTTGGATGTGCCAAAATCAGAAATATGTGCCTCATAATCAGAATCAAGAAGGATGTTGGCAGTGGAAATGTCTCTATGAATTATAGGAGGCGAGCAGTCGTGATGCATATAAGCCAAACCATTAGCTATAGCCTTTACAATATTGACCCTTTTCGACCAATCCAATTCTTTTGCTAAGACATCACTTCTGAAGATTGATCCAAGGCTTCCCTTTTCAAGGTACTCATAAATCAAAAATGAGTGGCGGGCATGTGAGCAATATCCATAAAGTTTCACTATGTTTTCGATGCCTTATGTTCCTTAATGCTCGTACCTTATTAAGGAATCCATTATGATCAACATTCTCAGATGATGAGTGAAGTTTCTTGACTGCTACCATATTTTTAGGTTGTAGCTCGGCTTTGTACAGAGTACCATATCCTCCGGTCCCAATAGCATATGCTTCATGAATATTGTCCGTTGCTTTCAAGATGTCATCATACACTACTCCTCCATCAAAACTTGTTATGGAGAAATAATCACCACCTTCTTTGTCCAATGGTTTCTGTGGAGAATGTCTCTTTTTGTTTTCGATAAGCAATGAGGCCACATATGAATAAACCAAGTAAAATTACCCCGATAAGAGGGAGCATAATTACCAGGATGAGCCGATGATGAAAGGGATCATTTTTCTTCTTCAGGATTTGACTTGCACACAATTTTAGTCCTGTAAAATTTGCACACAAACCTGGATTGCCTTGTAAGGACGCGTTCACAAAGTTGGAGCAAAGGGGAACTGGACCTGTGAGCTCATTTTTGGACAGGTCGATGTCAATCCCACTGGGCAAACTTGTAAAAGCATTAGGAATAGAACCAAATAGTCTATTGTGAGAAAGATTCAACTTTTTTAGATTTTTCAAACTTTGAACTTCAGATGGTATCACTTCTGTGAGCCAATTCTGAGATAAATCAACTTCTGTAAGTTGAAATAATTTGCCAATTTCGGATGGAATTTTTCACCGAGCATGTTATTACTAAGATTCAAGTAGTGGATATGTTCCCATTGACTAATACTTCTTGGTATTTGACCCATTCAATCTATTTGTAGATAGATCGAGTACTTCAAGGAGTTCTAAAGATCCGAGTTGTGGAGGTATAATACCTGAAAGTTGGTCATTCGCCAAGGATAAATTCAGCATACTTTTCATCTTCCCAAACTCCTTTGGGATTTCTCCCACCAACTGGTTGGATGAAAGATCAAGCCTTTGGAATTGAGTTGAATGTGCAAACTCTGGTGGTATGCTACCACAGATATTGTTATTGGCCATCACTAAGGTTGCCAAATTCTTGCATTCACTCCAGTTTTGAGAAAGCTGCCCATGAAAATTATTGTGACTGATATCTAGATATTTTAAGCGGGGATAGATGCCAAGGCTATTGGATATATCTCCAATGAATTGATTTTGATCAAAACGAGCCCTAATTAAGCTGGAACAATTCCGTAAGCCTCTTGAAATAGGCCCAGTGAGATGATTAGCATTTATTGTGAACTTTTGAAGCTTTCCCCCATGGCACAAATCTTCTGGTAAATGGCCACAAAAATGATTATTTGACAGCTCAAGTGTCTCTAGACTTCCCAATCCTAGTGGAATCGAACCAAATAGTTTATTCGTGTGAAGGTACAGAGTCTGTAGCTTGCTGAGGTTTCCTAGTGATGAAGGAATGGCACCACTAAGTTGATTGTCACTCAAACAAAGATTAGTGAGAGACTTCAAATTCCCAAGTTCAATAGGAATGGGACCAGAGAGTTGATTTTCGTCGAAATAAAGGACATTTAAAGATGTCAAATCACCCAATGATAAAGAAATGGAACCACTAAGCTGATTCCCTCTAACTTGAAGAGGAATGAGAGAGTTCAAATTCCCAAGTTCAATAGGAATAGGACCAAAGAGTTGATTTTCGTCCAAATAAACGGCATTTAAAGATATCAAATCACCCAATGATGAAGAAATAGAACCACTAAGTTGATTGTAACTCAGACCAAGCTTAGTGAGAGACTTCAAATTCCCAAGTTCAATAGGAATGGGACCAGAGAGTTGATTTTCGTCTAAATAAAGGACATTTAAAGATGCCAAATCACCCAATGATGAAGGAATGGAACAATTAAGCTGATTGTTGCTCACTTGAAGATCAGTGAGAGACTTCAAATTCCCAAGTTCAATAGGAATGGGACCAGAGAGTTGATTTTCGTCGAAATAAAGGACATTTAAAGATGTCAAATCACCCAATGTTGAAGGAATGGAACCATTAAGCAGATTGTTGCTCACCTCAAGATCAGTTAGAGACTTCAAATTCCCAAGTTCAATAGGAATGAGACCAGAGAGTTGATTTTTGTACAAATAAAGGACACTCAGATATGTTAAATCACCCAATGATGAAGGAATAGAACCATTAAGTTGATTCTTGTACATGGCTAGCTTAGTGAGAGAACTCAAATTTCCAAGCTCAATTGGAATGGGACCAGAGAGTTGATTTTGGTGCAAATGAAGGACATTCAAAGATGTCAAATCACCCAATGATGAAGGAATGGAACCATTAAGCTGGTTGTTGCTCACCGCAAGATCAGTTAGAGACTTCAAATTCCCAAGTTCAATAGGAATGGGACCAGAGAGTTGATTTTCGTCTAAATAAGGGACATTTAAAGATGTCAAATCACTCAATGATGAAGAAATGGAACCATTAAGCAGATTCTTGCTCACCTCAAGATCAGTTAGAGACTTCAAATTCCCAAGTTCAATAGGAATGAGACCAGAGAGTTGATT